ACCACTAAACCACGTCCCCAAGCACCACTTCAAACAGGATCAAGACTTTTCGCTAGACAGAAGGGGATGTCTGGTTGGGAAGGTTGCTCAGATTCCTACCTGTCTCGCATGAACACAAACCAGCTTTTCCTGATGCTGTAACCAACCACCAAGGCTGCATATGCAGTAAAGTCAAATCAAGACGGAGAAGTAAGTCCCATCTCTTAGCCTGTTATTCAAAACTCTGTTATTGAAAAAACGTGCAGTTCTTGGTCAGGATCTGCCCGACACCTACTGGAATTTGCCTCTTCTTTTCTGCCAAGATTCAGAACACACGCTAAAATGGTTCAGAGAGCAATAAGCTATTTAGAGTGCAGTCCCATATAATCTCATCTGACCCAAGAGACAACACTCTAATCTCTCTCTCCTGGCCCTATAAAAACCTAATAAATTTGGTGAAACACAAATGACATTCCACCCAAGGCAGATCTCTCTTTCAGTTCTATAATCCCTCAACAGTGACCCTTAATTGTTTCATCAATGACTTTAGTTAATGAGTCCACAACCCCTCTGCATACAATAAATACTATTTGCACATCTTTTAGGTAAGAGGCCTTTCAAAAGGGATTTCTTTTGAAATAAAGTATTTTTATCAAAGTATTTTACTTCATATTTCCATTGCCATTGATTGTACTGCCTTCTGCCTCTCAAAGATGAGTTTTCTGAACAGGAGGGTTATTTCTTCTGCTATGTAGCCTCCCACTGATGACATGAGTCCTCCGACTTTCCTTCAGAAAGCAATCTTTATAGGAGGTTTTATCTCCAACACTGCTATCTGACACTGGCACCTTCTCCTTTAAGTACCACTACCACTTAGAGGCATTTAGGAAAGAGAAGTAAGATAAAATACACTTCACAATAAAACCCACTAAGATACACTCTGAGCAGGGAGGTTTTCCAAGGCACAAGTTCTAAGACCAAATTACTGTCCCCTAATCACTTCCAGAAGTAAGAAGAGTGATGGCAGCTATGCTGCTCTGGCACTAGCCAGTAGCACTGCCACAATCCGAGTTTGCATGAAAAGAACACAGCTTTAGTATGACACTGTAGTGCAGTAAGAAAGGAGGACAGAATGTACATAAAAAAGGACATCTATAGATGTTTCTGAGAGCAGACTGGCAACCTCCAGTGAAGCTGTAACCTTGCCAGGGAGCTTTTCCCTGCAGATTGCCAGGCAATCTCTGGCATTCCAGATCTGTCTGACCTTGGCCATCTGAACTTCATCACCAAATTCTCTGCCAGACCTACCCTTCTCTTCTCCTCAGGAGTCCAAGTATAGCTCACTGCTCACTTCTAAATTCCTTTATTAAGGCATATGTGTGCTTCCCAGGCTGTGCTCCACCATGTAGTTCACCTTTCTGGTCTTGTGCAAGATGACCTGAGCAGAGTTTTTCCCCCTTTTCTCTGCTGGCCCTAGAAGATGTTTCTCCCTTTCCCTCAAGCAACACAGAAAGTTTGTGCCAACAGGAAAAATGAACAACTAGCTGGCACTTTCCAGGAGACTTCCCCTGCTTTTCATATGAAAGCAGATTGCCACATTAGTGCAAACTACAGTACTCACACGACTCTTCCATTCACATGAATATCCAGTCCCTGCAGAGGCTGGATGGATGTGGATAATCCACCTGGAGAGGAACTGTCAAAGTTAGCTTGCACAGAAAACAGAGCAACAGATTCAGCCTGGTTCTAAGTAAGGAACCAATCTGAGATGGAAGTTGTTGTGCAGAAGGAAAGCCTGGGATATGGAACAGGCTCCACTGTCAGCAGATACTGCCAAGACAGGAAAAATCAGGACAGAAAACCAAAATCCTTAACTGACAACAAATTGGGTGGCTTTGGCGCTCACTGTAGCAGATCGTGCTGCAAGAGCGCTGTGTGCTGATTTGAGCATGGCTGAGATGCAAGATGTCCGTGTGTCAGCATGCCTTTGGATAAAGGATGGCCTGGGGGACCTCTCAATGCTCTTTCCAACCTTGTTCTCTATGAATACAGATCAGCATATCTGCATCTGAGTCGGCTTGTTAAGGTCAGCCTGAAGGAAACACAGAGGAACTTGGGTCTGTCTCTGCAAAACAGCCACATTTGTTCAGTCTAGAAAAACAAAGGCTGAAAAAAAACATGGCTATCAACAAACCAATAATTTGCTGGGTAAACATCAGGGAAAGAAGAATAATTTAAGCAAAAGGATTCAAGAACAAATTGTTATAAACTGGCAACGAGTAAGTGTAGACTGGAAATCAGGAAAAGATTTTTAATAATTTAGAAAAGCAAGATGCTGGAACAGTGTTTAAATGGCAGCAGAGGGCAAAATACATCACTGCTGTCACATGGAGCACAATCTGTTTAAGAAAGGGGTTATTATGAAAGGGGCTGCATGCTTGAACAGTGGAAAATGTTCCAGTTCTGTGTTCCTCTACCCGTTAGCAATGTCTTCACACCTCTGCATATTAATTATGGGAGACAACTTCATCCTCACATGCATGACTGTAAGCTCACCACTTCTGTAAGTGGAAGGTTTCTACCTCACCCATTTGGTGAATACGAAATTCAAGAGCCTGCCTTCACTAACTACACACACATTTACGTAAGTGTTGCTTAAGGTTTAATTCCTTGGATTCCTCCCTGGATGACCACTGCACAGAGAACCACAAAGCCTGAAAGAGGCACCTACAGAGAAGCCAAATCTTCACTCTTCCACAGATGTATGGAGTTTAACCAGGAAGTGGAGTGCACTCAAGATATAACCATTTCCAGGAGCAGGCTTCAAAGTAGATATATTTCAACATTTGAAAATAACCATAAACTATTTTTTATCTATTGCTCCACAGTAACAGGGCTCTTGTAGAGCACTAACAGATGATCACCAAAGGAACTGGCTTAGTGTTTAAAAGTGTTTGACCAGCTCAGACTGCCTTGCAAGGAACAACTGAAAATCCTTTCCAGTGCCCCACTTTGTCTTCTCACACAGGTTACAAATAATTTTAAGGGAAGCCCTCTGACGCTCCAGAACTTTTCACGTTCCCCTTCCAATATCCTGCTTTCTTCACTTACAAAACAGTGGGTATCTATGGGGGGAGCAAGCTTTACTTTTCTCCAAGCATGATCATAAATTGCAGCAGTCCTCCAAAGCAAAAGACTTACCACTAACCCCATAAAAGTGGAAATTTGACTCAGAATAGCTAAAATAAGCTTTCTGCAATGTGAAGTAACGGAGACAAGCTTCAGTTCTTGCTCAAAGGAATAGAAGGGTGGCATATTAATCTTAAGCTATGGCAGTACTGTAGAATTTCAAAAACTTATCTGATATATGCAGAAAAATGAGAAACTTCTACTAGGAACTGTAATTCATATATTATGAGAGAGATTAAAGAATAATAAATTCTGGAAGGAAGCATTAATGACTACGTGGGGCGCTGTGAACCTGGCGTTCCCTGAAGCCTATAATTTTGTATACCAAACAATAAAAATGATTTGTGCAGGAGCAGAAAACATTAGATATTATTCTGACCATGACCAGTTACATACTGTATGAAGTAAGAACTCAGCAAGAGAAAAGACTTCTTTTATAATTTAGAGATGAACAGATAGGATAATATTAGCCATTATGTCAAATGGTAACCATCTCTGGGAAGAAGAAAGGCGATGACAGCACTTAGGATATTTCCCATGCTCTTAGAGAAAGGCTGACCACAATGGTCCTGAAAATCATTAGTGATGCTGCTATGCACTCGCATGCAATAGCTTTCACCCTAAGCTCTTTACAAACTGAGGCAGAGAAGCTAAGTAAAGTGCTCATAGTGCAGCAAATGTCACACTTTGCCCTGGGTTTATAGCTCCTAGAGTCCTGCCCTTCTCTCGAGTTCATCATCTTCCCTGGTATTGATAATAGCACGCTTTGACTTGCATGCTGAAGCCTGTGTTTTAGCCTTCATGTTTGTCTACTCTGGAGATTAATCTTTTGGCAAGACAATAAAACCTCTATTCAAAATTAAAGGTAAAAAAATTCCCTGCACCTTAGCCAAATTAGTTAGAAAATACCATATATCCATACATTTTTCATAGAGTTATTAGCCTCCTATGTTAGGAGGCTTCTTGGTGAACTACCAAGAAAAGGCAGCAACCATCTCATTATTCAGAGAATTAGCACAAGACTGACCGGCTTATGGCCATACTACCTCAAGAAATGGTTCTTCAAGAAAGGGCATGAAATATTAGCCGAGGAGTAATGGGACTCATTCAGAGTCTGTGGACTACCTCTCCCAGCCTCGTATCAGCAGTTAATGCACTTCAGATAAGAGAAAGAGATCTGCAGAGAGAAATGCTGGGTGAAAACACATACTGAAAGCTACCACATCAGCCAGCACATACAGTACTCTCCTGGTGCAGGCCACAGTGTGTGTCTCTACACAGTTCCCTGAGGTGCTGTGTGTACCATGTGATGCTGGGGTTACCGGACTTGCTTTACTGAATGCAGTGTTTTATGGTTGCACAAAATCCAGTGTAAATACCAGAGTACGAGCTACAGCTGCCCCTGAGGAGCTTTAACTTATGCACTATCCCATAAAACTCCCAGGTAGGGAAATGAGTAAAAAGTCTGAATGCTTTCTCATTCCATAACCCCTTTGTGGTATTCTGCACTGAATGTTTCCATTGTTCAATAGAGACGGGGGAAATAAGATTAGCCTGAGATGGAATATCCTATTTTCCCATGCAGTATATTCTCTAGCCAACTCAAGCTTGCTGGTTTGGCAGAATTCAAGGCTCTCCAAAGACAGTGATTTTTTGAAGGCTGACAAAGTTTGGCACAAACACATGCATTCTATGCCATACCCTACCCTTAGGTGTTATATGTAGGGCTAATGTTCTGCAGAGCATAAGAGAACAGCACATCAGAGCCTGTTTTGCCCAACAGCTGAATTGTGGCTTTGAATTGTAGCTTTCTTTTTAAGAACATTACCAACCTGGTCCCTTCTTTGTCCTCCAGCTAGCCAGCGTAATATGCGACTGCAGATATTTTTCAAAATTGACAAGTGCCATGCGGCACACAGAATGGTCAACTACAATCATCACTCTGGAATCTTTAAGGAGGAAAAACAGAGCTTAGAGAAAATGGCTGCAAAGCAATTCCTAGTGTGGTCTGACACAGAGGGTAACTTGCAAAACATAACCCTTGACCAACAAGTCAGCATTTAAACCACTGGTGACTTACAGTTTCAGGCACAGCAAGCGGCGTGGAAAACCTTGAAGACAGCAAAACCATAGCACGTAAGAAGCAGGAGAATACAGAAATAACTTACAGGAGACGTCTCAATCATCTGTGCTCTGCAGAGCCATGTCTCAGGAGCATTTCACATGCCTGAGCAGGTGAGGAGATGGGAGGTCCTACCCCAACTCAATATACCCCTTCCACACTGTGCAAAAGGAGACACTTTCAACTGAAGACATGCTCTTCTTCTAACATACCATATTCAGGTTTTGCTGATATAAGTATTGGTCAGAATGGCCATGGTGTAGACGAAGAAAATGCTGACAGCATGCCAGAGTGATAATACTGAAAGCTGCAGCAGCAACAGCCAGCATAGTACTGGGAGTGCAAGTTGATGCTGGGGGAGCTGGAGTAGAAAGACCCAGTTGAGGTGGGAAGAGAAAAGAACCAAACAGGGCTGTCTTCCCCAGGGGTAACTGCCTTCTCAAGCTGTTAGCTGAGGTTCTGAAGTCCTGTAGCTTACACAGAAGCAATCTCTAAGCCAGCATTGCTAGTGCAGGACTCAAAACCTTGCTAGCTTACTACTACTTTTTTTTTGCAAATTAATCCAGGAAATTAAACACAATTGACTCAATTGAGTGTCACCTGTATTGTGAACTAAAGCACCGAACATTATTTGTGGGCTTGTGGTTTCTCATGCAATCTTAATGGGGCCCCTTGCTGGTAGGCCACCATGACAGTAGACTACCACAGATGGGTGTCCCTTGCCGTAAGACCACAGAAGTTTTTTTTTCTGCCCAACTCCTGCCTCGTTCAACAAAGGACAACTGTTAGAGTCACCTGAATTTAGCTTCCAAAGACAAGCACTCAGTGCAGCTACAAAGGTTCTGTATGTAATACATGATACAATGCAAAAATATATTTCCTCCTGTATTTTTAGATTATTTCTGGGAATCAGAAATTTATGCTGCATACTCAGTATGAATGTTTAAATTTAACTTAACTTGCACCTTACCTGACATGTAAAGTAATGTACGTTTTCTTATTCGCTGAACATCTTTTTTTCAGTGAAAAGCATGAATCTCTCCAATCACGTAACCTAACTGAATGTAGAAATACATCCTGAAGATTGCGTGTCTATTTTTTTGCAAGTGTGGCCAGCATTTTACAGGCAGATACAAATAATGAGTAACTGTTAACCTGGATGTTGGAATGAATACCCTCTCGGGCAGAAGAATTTTAAGATTAATTTCCACAGCACTAAAATTTCAGCAATCCTTCTTATAATGTACACAACACTCTCCAGTTCCAAATGTAACCCTCAAGGAACACATACATAAATTATAATATATCCACTGGGGAAACCTCCGAAATCCCACAAAAAAGGGGGAAATGCATTTTAGGGGGCAGTCTGCTCAACTGTCTGCTTTTAAATACAATTTCAAATCAGGAATAATTAATGGCTGAATTGCAGTTAGCACTTAGATACTATTAAAGAGGAAAAAACAAAAACAATTTCTACATGCTTTCATTACTGTGTAGAGCATAGAAAGAATTATAACATGAAAGTGTCTGGTAAGCTTTTTTTCTTAAACCTTTTGGTTCAAGTACTTCTGTGCCTTGAATTCTAAGGAGTTTGATCAAAATAAAGATACCATGCAATCCTCTAATTCAGATATATTCATCCACTGCTCATCTACTAAAACAATCAAGCTAAGACGTCCAAGGAAGCCTAACATATCACTAAGGTAGAAGGCGTTAGCTCCTCTGCAATATTATGTTAAATGTTACTGAGATCAGCATTGTAAGGGCTGGGGGACCACAGGAAAAAGAGCTACGTCTTTTCAAAAAGTACTTCTGGTCTAGCACTTGGGTGATAAAAATGGATCCACGCATTGGTATTCTCCTGAACCACACACCTGCCCAACAGATAACTCACAGACTACCCCACAGGACTGTTCTTCTCCACAGTCATGTGGCACTTGAACATCCAAGCAGGAGCTGCTTACACAGCACATCACTCCTTTTCTGGCACCAAAGCTGCCCTCTCCAAGCACAGCTGGGCTGTCCAGCGTTGGCAGTTTTAAGCAACCTGTTGAGAGCGCAGCCTCTAGGGAAGGCAAGCTTCACAGCTCATGCATGGGTCCTCTCTAGACCACAGAAAGGCAAGTGGCCAAAACTGTTTTTCACTGTTCATCTCAATTTCCTTGCTTTTACCTCTGAGTGATTATTGGTTTTGCCAACTCTGATTTGGCTGCTTCTTCTTCAGTGTTTGATGGATATAATCATGAGGACACTGGGAAGGTAAATCATAGTAATTTTCTTCCTGAGTAATTTTATTGGCTCTGCTCAGAATATGTTCGCAAATACAACAGCTCCTGCCACTTCCAAGTGGACAGAGACTCTTTGCAAAAATGGGAAAATGCAGTCTCCTGGGAAAACAGTCAATTCACTGGAAGAGTGAAAGTATTTAGCGGGTTCAGTAACTCCATGTAAGGGACCAGCTGTGACGGGGGTAGCAGCACACAGGCAGCACTCACCTCGTGAAGGCTGCAGCTCAGTGATGCTCTTGGTGGCTTCATCATCCGAATCTTCAGTTGCCACTACCTTGTATCTGTTGCTGCTCTGTTTGTTCAGCACATGTGGGACCTGCAGTGCAGCCTCTCTCTCTGCAGCCAGATCCAAATCCTGCTGAGCAAGGTGTGCCCTCAGCTGCCTGATTTCAAACTAGAAGAAAAAACAACATACAGATGTTGCATAACATAAGCATGGCCAGAAGTCTACATTCTACAGCTGGGGACCTATTACTCAGTTTATCATTAAACCACTACAGACTGGTGACAGCAACTACAATGTCATTGAGCTGGGATGTGAGTCCAAGCTGTTGGTGCTCTCCCAGAGAGGAGGCCGTGTGAGCTAGACCATTGTTCACACAGTCTAAAAATGATGACTGCCTCATGCTGGTCTTCTATCTTGTACATGTCTGCATCCTGCAGATATGATTTTGGACAATTTTTAACAAATCTAACTGCCAAACCAAATGAAATCTTTCTAAAAGATCACCCTTAACAGCATCTAGAGACTTAGGTTCATGACAAACATCTCTAATCTGCTAGACTTTGCAATGAGGAATTCTGTGGAGGGTGGTTGTGTAAGCAGCACCAGAATGGTCCTCTTCCTATAAATGGCACAGGGGAGAAACATCACGGCCCTCGTCCAGCTTGAAATCTACTGTACTCAACAGCAGGCAGAAAATCTTGGGAAAGATTGCCACTTTGCTGGCCACTCCCCTAAAATATGAGCCACGACAGTTAATAACTTTCTGCAATCAGAAGGGTATTTGCCTTGCAACTGGTGTTATAAAGCAGAGACTGACAAAAAGACAGAAGCTACCAGGTACCATCTGACTGATGGACACAGCATATTTCTCTTGTGTTTGACAGCCACAGGTTATCCACAACATAAGAAGGAAAATATTTTTTCTGGAGAGGCTGCAGAGTCAGTTTAAACCCTTAAACAGGCACTACAAGATCCCACTGTCCTTCCCCTCTGCCATTCAGCACAGCTATGTTTTTTAAACTCTTTAAAATCAGTAGTACAGCAGTGACCAAGTCATGTCTAATTACAGAGAGGGAAAAGCAAATAAGGCAAGTAATAGGCTAAGGTATTTAAAATTTAGCACTGCTGGGCCTCCCATAGTTCAAGGTCTGTAAAGCCATCAGAGAGCACGATGCTACAGCAAGCCATGCTGCACCTGTCACTCTGCATTTACCACCGAGATGGAATTAGCACCTCAATGCTTGAAAACTGGTGTGTAACAGCATGTAGGCTAAATGAACCTGGATCTGGCTCTTGCCTCTCAGATGCTGGCTCAAATTACTTTGCTGTCAGATTTTGGAATCCATCATCTAGTTTGTTCCACCACAGTCCACATCAGGCACTGTGCAAACCCCAGGCATACTGCAGAGCACCATCAGTTCCTCCAAGCTGTGTAAGTGACTGGAGAGGAGACCAGACAGAGTTTCTGCAGATTTTAGAAAGAAAAAAGGAGGAAAGAAAAATGGATTCCAGTTTTCCACATCTGCTTTCCAGAGCACAGGGGAAATAACTCCAATAAGTTGAAGGCCCATTGCAAGACTCAAATCTAGAGAGCAAAATGGCAGTTTAAGCTTTCCAGACCACATTTAAATCACCTAATGTAGGAGATCTAACAAAGCACACAGTTTTTCGTCTCTCTTGAAATCAGTGGACAGAGGTCTGGCAGCTGCAGACAGCTGGCTGCATGAAATGCTCATCGCTCTCAACCAAAGGTCCTTTGGCAGTGCTAGTCAGAGGAGTCAGGCAGCATCAGCCAATGCCAAAATACAGCCCTGCTCCTCGATTCCTGCAATGAAACCATCATGGCAGGTCCCAGATGGTGTTTTTTGTGTTAACCTATGCTCTAGGAAGAAGTAGCAAACTGAGAGTGCCAA